AGACATGGTAAAACTTACAGGGATAAATACCAGCCCAGTAGTTTAGATAGACATGGTAAAACTTACAGGTAAATACCAGCCAAGTAGTTTAGATAGACATGGTAAAACTTACAGGTAAATACCAGCCCAGTAGTTTAGATAGACGTGGTAAAACTTACAGGTAAATACCAGCCCAGTAGTTTAGATAGACGTGGTAAAACTTACAGGTAAATACCAGCCAAGTAGTTTAGATAGACGTGGTAAAACTTACAGGTAAATACCAGCCAAGTAGTTTAGATAGACATGGTAAAACTTACAATCATGTGACTGAGAACAGAACTTTCCACAATTTTGTGACCGATGACAGAATATTGCACAATCTTGTAACAGTATTGTCTCTTGATAAGAAACAGATGTGACTACTGTATCTTGATTAGAAACAGACGTGACTATTGTTGACAAGAAACAGACGTAAATATTGTTGACAAGAAACAGACGTAAATATTGTTAATAAGAAACAGGCGTGACTATTATTGACAAGAAACAGGAGTGACTATTGTCTCTCGACAAGAAACAGACGTGACTATTGTTGACAAGAAACAGGAGTGACTATTGTTGACTAGAAACAGGAGTGACTATTGTTGACAAGAAACAGGAGTGACTATTGTCTCTCGACAAGAAACAGGAGTGACTATTGTTGACTAGAAACAAACGAGACGTAGGAAAAGCCACAAAAAGATAAGTTGGTTAGCAGAAAATGTTGGAAAAACAGAGAAAAATCCATGGTGATTCTTAATACAGACAGATTAAGCCTGAGATCAAGCGAGACGAAAAACAACCAAACTTGAGGGATGACTGCCAGCCTCAAGTTGGGAACTCACGAGCTTTGGTTAGAAGAAACTCGATTTCTTTAAAACAGAGGAGAATATGTTTATCTATGTGAAATCAATTTGGGTTCAGTGGGGGAGGAGAAAGTAGAACATCCTGGATTTTAGGTGTTTCGTGGGTTGACCTTTAACCTTACGTACGTATCATGGTTGACATATTTTATTTAACAAGTAGAAGGTTCACATTCGTTATTAAAGACAGTAACTGATCCTTATCAAGCAACCCTAGACTGCTGTTGGTACAGTTTACTTGGACGGTTTATTGATAATCTCCGGGTCAAACTTACACGATCAGTTTTTTAACTTAGCTCTAACATTACCTGCATTACGTCACGCTAAAAATAAACTTTTAAACTTATTTTACAGTTAATAATTGTATAAAACTCTTGTTCTTTCCTGTCCGTTTATTCAGCCTAAAAGTCAGGAAGTTGGTCAGTTCCTATAAAGATTTACTGTCAGGAAGTTGTTCAGTTCCTACGAAGATTTACTGTCAGGAAGTTGGTCAGTTCCTTGAAGGATTTATTGTCCCGAAGTCGGTCAGTTTCTACAATGAGTTACTGTCATGAAGTTGTTCAGTTCCTACAAAGATTTACTGTCATGAAGTTGTTCAGTTCCTACAAAGATTTACTGTCAGGAAGTTGGTCAGTTCCTACAAAGATTTACTGTCAGGAAGTTGGTCAGTTTATACAATGAATTACTGTCAGGAAGTTGGTCAGTTCCTTGAAGGATTTATTGTCCCGAAGTCGGTCCAGTTTATACAATGAGTTACTGTCAGGAAGTTCGTCAGTTCCTACAAAGATTTACTGTCAGGAAGTTGGTCAGTTCCTTGAAGGATTTATTTAATCTAGGAAGTAAGCCAAAGGCTAAATCACGTTCCAATAATATGAAGTTTTCAATATAAACTCAACGTTCACGGACATTAATTTAACTGAGTTGTTCTATAAATCAAATTGATATTTTTCTAAGGATGATTATTCTCAATCTTCTCGAACAGAGAGTGAACATCAGTGAGTCACAAAATAGGGAACACAAGTGTTTCAGATGGAAAGATTTATCCCCCTCAATTCGATTCTGTGGAGCATTGTAACAACGTCGTATTTCGGTATTAGACTTATCACCCGGACAGCAACGTCTGTAGAAAACATGCAATCAGAGGCTGTAAGCCTGAGTCTATTCTGTAACAACGTCCCAGCTTAGCTCATTAGACCGCGAAGGATCGGAATTCTATAGAGTTTGACTTGCGAAGCACGGCTAAGCCTACATTGAGTGTGCTTTTCAAATTTGTGTACGTACAAGCCTAGCTGCGAATTGATTCTAGTATAAGACACACAAAAGAAAGATGGACGATTAGGGAGTTTCATGATATTTACAAAAGTAACGTTTACTTTTTATTATATGACTCCTCTTTCTTTAAAACGTTAAAAGCTACAGACAAACCTAGAAAGTTGTCGTCTTACCCTCCTCCTCCATATCATTTTAACCCCACCTTCCGCAGTCCCTTGTTTAAACTAATGCTCACCTTATCATCCGAATGGTTAACCCTATTTTCTTCTTTTCTATTATCTTTGGGTTAACTTATATCAGAAGATCAAAACATTGTTGTAACAGTTTATATTGTTGGGTGGGTTATTTTGGATTACTTGGTAAAAATACTGACGTAAAGTTAATTGTCTCAAGTACATACGGCGCTAATATTTCTAACAATAAAGTTGCCTTTATTGTTCAGATAATAATTTAAAAACGTTTTCTACAACAATACCGAAAAAATAAGATTATATCGACAGAGATCAAACGTCTCTTCAAACTACCATACCAAGCAACAAAGAAAACCAAAAACAGTGAGGCATTATGGGTTCGAATTATCCTAAACAAAACACCAGAAATTAATTGAAATCAAACTTATTGTTAATCGAGAAATTCTGAATTAAAGACTTTCTTGAATTATTATCTACAGACGAAAAGTCGTGTTCTTTTCTAAGTTTATTTTCAAAATTTTTTTAAATGCTTCCAGTATGCACTACAAGTTCTGAAAAACAATAAAACGTCTCTAATACTTCGTTGAAACAGAATCTCGGTATTCCAAAACTGAAATAACAAACAACTAAATATGAGTCTTTAACACAATAAATCAACAAGTATGCTAGCCTAATTCGAGTCTTACAACATTCATATCATCATCTAAACATTCCAGAAATTCCAGACGTTAAGCTATGCGCTCATTATGTGATATCAAAACTACTTTGGTGACAAAATAATAAAACAAAATATAGAAAGTTCCTTTTGTTCTCTACACAATGAACTATATATATATATATAGCCTAATAAAAATATAATTAAAACATTCG